TCCAAGTATAGCAATAAATTTTGGTTTTAACTTCAATTATACCAATGAACTGGTAACATCCAAACGACGCGATGACCTGGACAAAACAACATCGTTTTGATGCGGATATTAACACCTAAAACAATATTATCTTGGGCACTGGACTTTAGTTGGGGTGTATCAATTTTGCAAATAAACTTTTAAACAAATTAATATTTTGGTACTGCACCTTTTCGACCACCATTAACAGTCAATCGTCGTTTTTCATCAATTGTCTTTCGTTTCGCTCTTCTTTATTCTTATAAGATTGGATTTCCATGAAGTGCACCCAAATTCAAAAAAAATTAAACAAAACAGAAGACCCACAATTTTTAGGGATTTGAGGGCTTTGGGGTGTTTGTTCAAAAATTTGAACAATGAGAAACATTATTTTGAGAAGGCGAACAATATACCTAAAAATTAGTCTCAATAAAATATCATTGAAGGAGATCATGATATTAACATATTAAACCTTTATATAGATTTTTGTAGATTTCGTGGAAAACCAATCCTATGAAAAGAAAAATGAGTGAAATTTGAACGTTTTGATATTGATTTTGCTATGAAAGATGACTGGTGACATGTAATGATTGGCTACAAGTGACGAGTGAAATGCTTATAAGTTTAATGGCAAAATCGATATACTCTTAAAATTCAGTGCTTAAAACGACGTCATTTTAGGCATCAATAGCCACACCAAAACAACATTGGTTTGCCCACGTTATCACAATGACATAAAGATATACACACATCATTGTGTCATTAAAATTTAACTATCTGATGATATAATTGAAGTTAAAATTAAAACTTATTGTTATAATTAGAACAATTGAAAGTTCATTAGCATAAAGAATGCATCACCTAAAGTTTAATGATCACCTAAAGTTAAATGATATACGGTGTAATTTACTCTCAAATTATTTATACTCTAGTAGACCACCGTGTGAATACAAACCCTAGCACATCTTATCCCCATCATACTATGAAAATGATGGACAAAGAAAGAAATAATAGTTTAATTAATCAATCAATATATGTTGGTGGGTGCGCAAGGGTTCCTATTAACAGAATTTAACATCAATATCATCCTATCTCAATCATTTAGTTCACGTAATTGTCATGGCTTCTGTTTCTTTATGTTTCTTTCAATGAATGTACAACTTCATATATAAATTCATGTACAGGGTCTTGGGATTACAGCTAAAAAATCCAAGTATATAGTAAAAAAAAAACTAGAAATTATGGGGAAGAAGATATTAAGGCAAGCGAAAGCGAAAATATCAAAGACTAGCTATAGTGAAAAGAAGCCATTGAACAGTCTGATAAAGGTGTTGCGTCCCAAGGTTTACATCACCCACAGCTCCAGTTTCAAAACCCTTGTTCAAGAGCTCACTGGAAATGCCACTGTTTCATCACCTTCTTCTTCTTTGTCGTTGTCTTATTCGTCTTCACCCCGAATTCTCGAGCAACCGGAGCCTGTTCTTGAGGTTGAAGATGATCTCAGGAACCCTGAGAGTAGCACAGAATCATCCTTTGATGCATCGGTCAATTCATTCCTGGTCAATGATACGAATTCATCGGAATATATGTTCATGGATAATCAGCTGGAGGATTCATTGGTATATGGGGATCAACAGGCGTTTTTACAGCTTGATCATGTTGATGGGCAATGTTTTGGTTCTTTCAATGATGTATGCACTGAAATTCAGCAGGAGGTGAGCATTTATGACTACGAGTTATCCGGACTCATATGAAAGCTAGTTTGTATATGTATTAGTTCATTGATTTCCTATGTTTTTGCTGTATATATATATTATGGACGTAAATATAGATATTAGTGTATATAATTTTTATACAAGAGATATATCAGAGTGTATTTATTTGTTTATTTTCCATTTCCATTTCTGTATACCTTCTTATGCACAGAGAAATAGATTTTTCTTTATCACTTTTGATTTGTATTTGACTTATTTAAAAAATTTAGTATCAAACTATACCTCTTATGCCTAAAGTTTTTTTTTTTGTCAAAGTGTTGGTGCCTAAAGTTTTTTTTTTGGGTCAAAGTGTCTAATGTTTTCTCTGTTGTTATTTCAAATCTGATCCATCGGGACAGTTAAAAATATGCATCAACCATTCAAAACATAACATGTGGCAATTTTATATCTTTTTAAAAAAAATTATTTAGAAACCTTAAAATTATTATTTAAAAAAAGCCTCCTTTTTCCTAAAATTTCAACAACAAAAATAATGTAAACCCCTAAAATCAAACCTCCCATTACCATCACTGGCCATTACCGAACGGTTACCCACATGTCGCTATCCACCCACTCATCTTTTTATGTGCAAATTTAAATTTGTACTGAATATGAGAAACTATTTTAAAATTAATGTAATAACTCTGTAACAATTAAGCTTTTTCCTTATGTTACAAACGTAACATAAAGGAATCAAATATTCATATATCCTCAAAACTATAAAGTATACCAACTACTCATTTAACATGAATAGTTCACTAACTACATAAATGCTAATATAAGCCAAATCAATTTCAAGTCTACACAAAATATTCCAAAACAAAAGTTGGAACTAACATTTGTTAAAGTACTAATAGCACAGTTCAAAATTTGCACATCAGATGTACACCTTTGCATCTAACATTACTTCCTCACAATCTTTCTATAAAGATAAAGGATTGGGGCTCGAGCAGTTCTATAAAGAAAAAACAAACAGCAAAATCAAACTCATTAGAGGAAGTGAAGATGAAAGAAATCTGTAATTTTTAGATATGTAAAGATAAAGGTAAAAAAATTGTAAGAGAACAGCAGAGAGGAAGGAAATCTTAAGCCAGAGGGAAAGAGAGAAGAAAGAATAAGGGAAACAAACAGACCCTAAGTGTACAAGAAACTTCAGTAGAAGATCAGTACAGAACATCGGCTATTCAACTCTAAACTAGAGAGACAATCATAAAAATGTCAAGTTACAGAATATGCCAACAACAGGCACAGCGTTTAGCATGCACAACTATTAATTAGATTTACAATAGTATAACTTTAAAAAGTAGTTGCAGCAGACTTGTAGTACCCCTGATGGACTGAAATGACATTATTACACATATTTGACGACGAGTGTTGCATATGAATATTTGTTCAATTTACTTAATATATTTACAAGATCATATTTTGATTGGTACATAAAAAAGAGAGATTATTTCTCTTAAACTCTGAAGCTCAAATGCATATAAGCAACTCTGCCACATGCTAATGAATGATTCTTAAATACAGGAATGATGCAAACGTAGGAGAACTTTAATTACATGCCTCATACAAGCTACTTATCTGATTGAGTTGGACAGACAAGAGAACAGATCAGATGAAAATGTTCTTGCCCCCAAGTGGTGGATAAAAATGTACACAAACAAATGGATTTAAACATGTACCAGTATTAGAAAGGGATCAGTCAGCAGTCCTGGCCGACATTGTGCTCATTAGACCTAGTGGAGCACTGAAGGATGGTTTTATCTCTGGAAGGAATTTACTCTGGTGTGGCAAAAGTCTTGAGTTAATTTCAAGTTCTAATTAAAAAAGAAAAAGGAAAGAAGAAGGGATATCAAAAACGACCTCCACTTTCTAGCTTGGGAAAGCCTGAAGGGCTTGGTAAGATTAATGAGCACTGGGGCAATGGGGGCAATAAAAAACAGTCAGTGAAAGGCATGGAAGAAGCAATGTATGTCTTGCAGGTCATAATTGGGGGCAGGCCTTGCTTGACAATTGGGAAAAGCATTGGTTAAAGAAGGGATGTAATTAGACGCTGATTTGTTTGTGTACATTACCTTCTATTGCACTGACTATCAGCTTAAGAAATATTAAGCTGGGTAAGTCGATGCTTCCTTCAAACAATGAACCTCAGGCCAGTGGTGATGTGGAGATCAAGGATAACTCTTTCAGACTAAGAATTGATTAGGTCATATATACAGGGAGAAGGCTTATGTGGGATTGAAAATATGGGCGTCTCACCTTCATGTGAATAATAGTGATTATATCTGCTGCCAGCAGCACAACGACCCCAAAGGAACCAAGGAAAGAAATGCAGATAAGGAGAATAAAAATGGGCAAGTTGCATCAAAGTTGTTTGGTAATGTCAAAGAAGAAACAAAAGTTTCTCGAGGCTCATGGGTGGGATCAATGGCAGCCAGCAGGTAAATGAAAACAATAGAACAATTTTTTTTACATCAACCGACTCGAGCATATCTGTGAACACATTCACATATTCCATTCCTTAAAAAGTGCACAGAATAATTTGAGAAGAAAGTTGGCATATACAATGCAAATGTGAAAGGGCAATAGTTCTGTTAACAAATTCAGAAATGACATATATAGATAGCCAGATAGGCATATGAGAACGATCTTCAATATCAACAAAAGATGAAAGTTTCTACTAAACAAACAGAATATTGTACAGTTACAGCTGACTTTAACTAAAAAAGCATATATGTTGTGTACCTTCATTCTTTGATTACTATTGAATCCCCAATCGTTGTTCTATCAGCATTCATTGATGGCTATTGAATCCCCAATCGTTGTTCTATCAGCGTCAGAATATTACATCTTCATACATGAACTCGTCATGAGGAATTAAAAACTTATCATTTCAGACTCTAATTTCTTTTGCAGTTCCAATGCAAGTTCTAGAGTCACCTCCACTTCACCCATGGACTGTCGTTCATCTTCCGTAACAGAGATACAACACATAGCAATCTCCATAAATTTGTTGAAGCATTCTGGGGGCTATCCTACCCTTTAAATATGGATCAATGTAGTGATAAAGGGTCCCATTCCTAAAACACAAAGATGTCCATCCAGCCAGAGATTTTTCCTCATCGTTCATCCGAAAGTGAGATCCCGCTTGACCAAAAATTACTTCGAGTAAGACGACACCAAATGAATAAACGTCAACTTTTTCCGATAGGTACTTGTGTGATAATATTATGGATCGAGGTATCCGAAAGCACCCTCAACTGGTGCCTCTTTTCTTTTCAAAGCTTTCGACATGCTCCGAGGTCCTAACTTGGACACAAAGAAACCAGAAAGCTTAGGAGTCCAATCATGATCTAAAAGAATAGTGTTGGTCACGTTGCGGTGCATTACTACGTACTTGGTTCCGGTATGAAGGTAATGTAATCCACGTGCTGCACCAAAGCAAATTTCTAGCCTCTTTTCCCAAGGATTAGCATTGATAGCATTACCATGGAGACAATCGTAGAGCGACCGGTTGCACAGATATTCATAAACAAGGAGTGTTTCTCCCTTCTCATCGCAGAATTAAATGAGAGATTCAACATTTAAGTGATTCAACTGTCAAAGTAAGACCACTTCAGTTCGGAATAAAGTAAGACATAATTCCATGCGTCTGATAGCAACAGTAAATGCCCCATGATCTATAATCACTTTGTATTCAGATCCGAAAATACTTGTACCGATAATCAAGCCTTCATCGAAGTTGGCGGTGGCGGCTTTGATATCTGCCAGTGAAAATTGACGAACGGATAGTTCCTCCGGAAGTGTGGAATACGATTTCCCAGAAGATCCTTGTTGACTCCTTAGTCGCGAAATGAAGACAGCCGCTTTCTTAGTGACTTGAAAGAAACGTAAACGTGAGCTTGAAGAACCTGCCATGATGGTAGATGACAATAAGAATGGCGATTTACAAAGCTGCCAGACAGTTAAATTTCGCACCTTTTGACGAACCCTAAATAGTAATCAGCGATCGTGTCGATGCGGAATGGTTTTTTGGATTAAATTATATTGACGGTATTGATATTTGAGAAAGTTGTTATTTTCTCCATTGATGTTTAAAAAGTAATAATTTGGTCACTGACATTATTGGAAGTGATGGAATCTAATATGCCACGCTAACCGGATAACATGGAATTGTTTTGACTTATAGTTTGGCTCTCATCTATGAGAAAGTGATGGTCGGAACCATCTTCACCATTACTGCATCTCCGTTGTTCAAGAACTTAGGCTCCTCCTCAAGCTCCTTACCGGATCGTCTGTCGACTTGGTCAACAGTTGAGTAAATTTTGATCGTGATGTGGAAGGTGTGGCAATCAAGGACTAAGGCATATCCATTTCCAATCTGACCAAGGTGGTTCATAATGATGACCTGAGAGGTGAAGTGGGCAGCTTCCTTGGCAGGAACCTCCTTTGAATTTGAAGTAACATAACCACTCTTAAGATCCTTAATTGTCACCAGGAAGAGCCTTTGGGAGGGATTCATAGTGAATCTCAACAGACTTGAGGGGCCAAAACTCACAACCATACCGGACTTAAGGACACCAGTCTCAACACGACTAACAATAACAGTTCCAATACTGCTAATCTTGTAGATATCTTGAAGTGGGAGACGGAGTGGTTTGTCCGAGGGCCTCTTGGCCCTTGGGCTCATTGATCTGGTCAACAGCCTTAAGGAGACTAAGACGCTTATACCAGTCAAGGTTAGTAGACCTCTCAGGATTGTTACCAACCTTCTTAAGATAAGAAAGACTTTTACAATTTCATCGTACCTTGTCTGTATTTTGGAGTTGTGACATCCATCTAGTTACAAAAACAAATCATTTACTTGACACCGAGGGTAATGCAACCAAAGTATGCTCACAGGTCTGAGTTTTGACCATCCTTAGAGATACTGGCTTCAAACCACCAGTGGTTGAATTAATAATGAGAATAACACAGTCAGCCTGTGAGGTACCAGTAATCATATGCTTGATAAAGTCACGGTGTCCAGGGGGCATCAATAACAATGCATTAGTATTTACTATTTAGTGATCTCAAACTTCCACAATGCAATATGAATGGTAATACCACGTTCACGCTCAGCCTTCAAGCACCTAGGCATACTTCAATGGCCATTTTTACTTCTCCATGTAGGAAAGATTATCTCGAACAATGGAGCAATAGCCAGTTGTAGATCCTTTTCAGTTAACTCCCCAGCCCAACTTGCATCACTGTATATTTTTATCTCATTTACTCTTTTTAAATAGTAAATTGTGACTCGATGTTATCTTTAAATATCTAAAGATTCAATTTACAATCTCTAGATATTTTTCTTATGGTCCATTCATATGTTGGCTGACAATGTTTACTGAGAATATAATGGTTGGCCTTGATTGTGAAAGATAAATCAACTTGCCTACTAGACTTTGCCTCTTTGGTACTTCTTTGTCGACTGACACTCCATCTTCATTCTTCTTTAGTTTTAGATTAGGATCCATAGGTGTTTTCGCTTGTTTGCAACCAAGCATTCTAATCTCGGCTAGCAAGTCTAAACTGTACTTCCTTTGAGAGATCGTAATCCCTACCTTAGATTAAGCAACCTGTATACCTAAAATGCATTTGAGAGTTCCATGGTCATTGACTTCAAAGTCTGCAGCAAGTATCTTTTTAATTTGATGATTTCTTCTATGTCATCTTATGTTATAACAATATCAACGTAGACAATAAGAGTGAACATTTTACCTTTAGATGAAGTAATTTTCAAGAACAAGTGTGATCTGCTTCGCACTGACTGTATCTGTAAGTAATCATTGTTTTGGGAAACCTATCTAATGAACTATAAGCTTGGAGGGAGGCATTTCTACTCCGGATAAAGGCATCTCAACGTCTTTGGTGAAGACATCTCGTTATTAGTGGACAACAAACATATAGTGGAGGCAACTCAACACTTTCGGCTAGAGAAAAGATATCCCCATTATGACGGTAGAGCAAAGACGTAGAATGACATTCCCAATGAAACAATGAGAAGATATATTGAGAATGTATCTTTTAATAACTCTAGTGTTCCAATGGAGGAATAAGAACTCCGATATTCGCGTACAATTAGGAAAGCTCACAACATTACAGAGTATTCTATAAACGAATCTTTTTTTGTGTACTTGTGTGGAGCTTACCCATGTAGTTGTCGTGGATATTCCTATCATCGTTAATAGTAGAATTTGACTCGAACTCAAAGCAACACAAATTAATTAATATATAAATTTGAGTAGATTTCTACTCTATAAGTTTACTTTGTAATTAAGTATTTATCTTAATTAAGGTTAGATATTAAGTTGTTCATGAGGATTTTCTTGTTTTCTTTTTCTCTTGATATTAATGAATTTTCTCCTCTTTTGCCTGTAGCTTTTCTTGAATGAGTTTTCCACACAAAATTTTGGTGTCTATTTTATTGTACGATCGTCATGCATGTCATTTTCTTCTAAAAATTAGTATCAGAATATCCGAATTGCTTGACTCGATCACGATAATGACATCTTTGAAGTATGAGAAGTCGTTATAGGATCGCCACACCAGATTCACGTTGTGAAAGGTAGAGATACGTAAATTTGCAAGAGTTCTCTTATTATGATGAAAGGGCATAGAAATACTACCAAATTTTATATTTTACAGAGTTCAACAATTATAGAAGATGAACTATTATTTTTTCTTTTGTGGCAAAGGATAATTTTGTGTTGAACAAATCAACCGTGGGCATAACAGATTTGAGAAGAAAACGGGAGTTTAGTTTTGTGAGCATAACAAATTCGAGAAGAAGAAAATTTAGTTATGCGAGCCTGACTTTGGATTCAGTTGACAATCATTATTTAAATTTAGTTTCATGAGTATAACAGTTTTGTAGACATAACAAATTCGAGAAGAAAAAAATATAATTGGCATTGATTATAGGGATGATGTTGCGCATGATATTGCATATAGTGAACAAGTTGTTAGCAAAGTTAACACTTATGATTTCCCGCCTTTGGAAGAAAGGAAAGCTTCAGGTCTATCTAAGAAACCGAGAACAATGCCAAGATAACACGAGACATACCGCGCTATATCAAACCAAGAATGCATCATAAAATTGCCCGCTAAAATCGCAGGAGACAGATTAACACAAGGATAACAAAATATAAACAAGTTAAAAGGCTGATTTTCCAGGACTCCATTTTCCATTTGCGGAACAAGCATGTAGTTTTACATAAGTAAGTCACCTTAGTTCCCTCAGTTCATCACTTGCAAACGACTCGAAGTCACCGCTATCCATAGTTGGATAGATTAATCCAGAGACACCTTCTACATCAGAACTGTCTGGCGCAATCCCGGATATTCCAGAGTTCCTTTCTAAAACATCATTGTCTACTCTGGATTTGTGGTGAGGGACAAAAGCACAAAAAGATGCTTCTTCATACATATATTCACCATAAGGGGCCATATGCGCCGGATCGGAATCTGCTTTCTCTAGCAGTACCAAAGCACGCTCTAGCATCACCTGCACTTCACTGATCTCGGGCCGTACATCACCAACTACACGAGTACAAGAACCCGCGATGTCCACGAACATCTTGAAGCATTCCGGTGCAATCCTCCTCTTCAAATATGGATCAATGATATCATAAACCGTTCCATCTCTATTAGACCGACAGGCACAATCAACTAGAAAAGTAATCTTCCCATCATGTACCACAAATGGCCTTCTAGCACACAAAACTTCAAATAAAACGACCCCAAATGAATAAACATCACATTTCTCCTCTGGTTGTGCTGTTTCACAACACTCTGGATCCAAATAACGTGTCTGGATCCTCGAGAAAAGATGTTAGTTATAAACTTTTAACCACTTATTATATAAATTATTGACAATTATGTATTTTAATAATAAATTGGACTTATACTTGGATATGAATCATTTGTAGTAATTAGTATTTAGGCTCTATAAATTTTGACTTGATCTGATTTTATAAGGTTATATTCTTTTTTTTTAATAATTGAGTTTGGGTTGAATTGATCATTACACTAATACTTATTCTTTAGATTTTTTATAATTAGATATCTATTTTATTTAATATTTATATATATTATGTTGAGTTGGGTTGAGTGCAAATTTTGCTTAAAAAACAATTTAGATTTTGAGTAAGGTATTATCTCCTTAAACCCAAATCAAATCTAATTTCAGATTAAATAATATTTTTTCTTAAATCGAATCAAATCGATATACAATTCAACCTAACTTGATCCTTATCCATCCCTAATAGTAATCAAAACAAGTTTCATTAATTTATATATATTACTTCTCACCCGTGTGATAAACGAGATTATTATATATTTAATATATTCATATTTTTTAAATTTAAATGTACTATTGTTGTTCCCTAAATTTTGTATGTTGTATTGAGTTATCTTTATAAAATCTTACTTTTGAATATTTTGTTTCATAAAATTTAAATCGTTACTTCATTTATCTCAGATCGTTAATTCAATTAAAAACATAAAAATAAAATACATATTTAATCATTTAATTATTTCGTGGTTTCCTTTGTCACCCAAATATATATAAACTTATAAGAAATATATATGAAAACTACATAAAAATTAAATTTATAACAAGAAACATATAATTAGAGATGATCAAAAATTGAATAATCAAAAATTGAATAATCTCAAAAAAAATATTTTTCTTCTAAATTTTATGTTAATTTAATATTATTTAGTTTTTAATTTTTTTTATAAAATATAAAATATAAAAATAACAAGGATCAAATATGTAATTATTTTAAAATTTTAACTATTATATTAATTATTCAATCAAATATTAACATTAATATGTAGATAATTTAGTTGACATCATTTAAACAATTAAGGGTAAAATATAATCTATTTATAATTAAGTATATATTAAATATTTGACTTTTTAGGGTAAACTACATGTTTAGTACCTAAAGTATCACTTTGTTTTGTTTTAGTATCTAAACTTTTAATTTTTTCAAAATCATACCTAAAGTTTACTTTTTATTTCATTTTAGTACTATGCTGTTAAAAATTTAGGTACTAAGAAACAAAAAGTAAACTCTGGGCACTAAAATAAAACAATAAGTAAACTCCGGGTACTAAAATAAAATAAAAAGTAAACACCGGGTACTCAAATAACATTCACTTTTATCATTTAAATATCAAATAACATTCACTTTTATCATTTAGGTCTCAATAGATTTGAGAGTGCTTTTAATCTAATAAAGGGTGGAACTAAATAAAGCGAAGCGAGTAACTTAACTGAAGAAGCTAAAAAATTCCAACTCCATCCAACACAAATGGAAACACCATTCACGTACAGAAAACGAGGTTCAACCAAAGTAAATCCATAGAGGATAGAATAATGGCCTACTTTTTTCAGCGCCGGCAAACTTACATCCATAATGAAACTGTTTCATGTAAGCAGCCATTTTCGAAGAGAAACTGCCGCTCACTGTTTTGATACGATTTCATGGTTCCTCTCCCTTTGCTTCCACAGTATAGGCATTAAAAAACCCACAATGATACTGTTTCCATCTTAACTTTGTGTGGGCTTACATGGGCGTCGCTATTTCAGGTCCAGCCCACCTCAACTCATTTCATTGCGTCTACTCGAAGATGGTAAAACGTTGGTTCCGCAGTTTTCCGCCAAACCTTTCTCACCCTTCGAAACCCAACTTCCCAGGCACCTTCTCTCTCTCTCTTTCACTTAACGACCCGAAATCAATCCCTTGTTTTATATGTATAAATGATCTGATTTTTTTATTACTATGCTTTGATTTATGTAGACAAAGATGAGTGCAGCATCAGAGCGTTACAGTTACAACCCCATATTGCGATGGAACCCTCAAGTCGAAGATTACTTCATCAATGCATATGGGTCTTCCCATTTCGCTCAAATCTCCAAAGCCTTAACGTACGACGTTTCTCTCTCGACCAAAAAAAAAGCTTTAAGCTTATCACCTTATTTACTCCTTAGCTTCTTTCATTTTAGATTTTCTTTTTATTTATATATATTTTACTTTTATCTTGATGTTGTAGTTTACTAATTTGCTCAGTTCTAATCACATACTGATGTTGTCTTTTACTTTATGCATTTGCTTCTTTTTTCAATGGGATTTCATAGGCAAAAGGCATTTACCAAAAAAATGCATAAAATGAGAGTCCATTAGCTTGCCATGCTATCTTTCATTCATTTTTTTGTGATGACATTGTTGGTTGTTGATTAGGCGGCCGTCTTGCTATTCTTGTATTCGAGTGAACACTCTCAAGTCCACAAGTGATGATGTCATTGAGAAACTTTGGGAAATCATGAGAAAATCGGGGTCTCAAAATGATGTTGAAGACATAAATTTGAGGGAGACCAAAGCATGTAATGATATTGACTCAGATATGGCTGAGACTCAATCTAGCTTACAACATGAGTCCATCAGTAAATGTCAGATACCGGGTTTAGGGTATGTTGTATTTGTTAAGGGTTCTGGACCACATGATATTGATTATGGTTATTTGCCCAACAAACCACCCAAGGAGGTCCTTGTTAGTAGGAAATGTGCTGAAGCTGTTCTTCGAGGTGCTCAGGTACAGCTTGTTGATCTAATGCGTAATTCAAGAATTCATTTTTATCTGTCACTTAAATTTGGAATTTATGGGTCTGCAAATGCTTCTTTATCTATTATTAGTTAAAAACTTAAAATTGAGGTGTATCTTCTCCTTAAAAGGTATCAACAACTTTTCTTAAGGATTCAAGAGGCTTTGTAAAATTTCGTGTACTCATTGTCAACTTAAAATCGATCTTTTTTTCTTCTTCTCATGGTTTATCTATAGGTATATGTTCCTGGGGTTATGGCCTGCAGTTCTCATGTTGAGGAAGGGGATCTAGTTGCAGTTTCTGTTGCAGTGGAGCAGCCTTCTCCTGATGGCGGATGGGGACTTGGTATAACACGTGGGACTGTTCTGCAGGGACTGCCGACAGGTAAGTAGTATGTTTTTTGCTTTAATATCAGTGGCAGTGCTTTACCATTTTGATCCTTTGGTTTTTAGCAATTCAATGCTACATAGATTATGATATATCTTAACAGATGAAGAATATTACTATATTTCTTTATTTTTTAATGTAGTTGATCTTGTTATAAACATTTGTAACCTTTTTTTGTTAGAAGAATTAATTTAAGTGGCTATTAGAATGGCATGTGTATGATTGATCTTGCTATATGTTCAATTAAAAGTTAAAACTACCTTATTTTTTCCTTAATTTATCTTGAAAGTGGGTCAAGATGTTGATGCTACCAAATTTAGGTTTTTGGAAAAGGAAAGAGATATAGGGCTCAGGACTGGATGCAAGACATGATAAGGACACCACCTGCTCACAAGGAATGATGCATCTGTATTAATTCCAATCCATTTCTCTAGTCTAGAGTAAAGTGTAATGTAATCTATTCTGAAGTAAATACTAGGGAAAAAAAGGATATTTGGGTGAAAGAAGAGAAAGAAAGGTAAAGCCAAGCTCAATTGGAACAACTGTTGACCGGGGAGGGATTGAATTCTGAATCTTTTTTTTTAATCTTCATATTAAATCTACAGACTAAGTAATTAGTCTGGTTAAACCTGTTTGTTACTTTGTATAACATTTCTTGTATTTATGGTTTGTGTGACTGCTTGTTTCTTCTAGTGCTACGAAACTACTAAAATTTCTTGAATTCTATGTATGATACACTATAGATCCCTTTTACTTTGAACGAAATGGATTATACATCGGTCAAGGAACAACAATGTTGTCAAGAGCTGGGATCTTTCGTGCTTCTCAAGGAATTGCTGTTGATATGAATAATCGAGTATTTAAGTTGCCTTCATTTTATGGTATGATTCATCCATAATCTGAAACATGTAGATGCTTTAATAGACTTGTGGAATAATCTTTAAGTTCTGGATAATGTTTTCTGAAATTTTGAATTGGTCTTGGTACTTCCCTTTTCTTTTATAGATGTGCTCGAGGGGGAAATATTTCTTCAAAACCTGCCCAGCATTGTTGCTGCTCATGCTCTTGGTATCCACACTTATTTTGAAGTTCTATGTCTTATTTAGGAATCCTTTGTTTTTAAGCTATGCCATTTTATCTATCTAGATACTAGATTCTTCATTTTTCTCTGTTCAATTCTCTTAAGCTCTGAAATATCTTCGATACTGAACTGTTATGGAATGCTTTGTACATGTTCTGATCCCTGGAACTTTAATTAGGCACTAAAGAATATTATGGGGGATGTCATTGTGATAATGAAGTGGGTTTGAATGCAATCAGTTGATGTGTTCTTATTTTGTGATTGAGCTTATTTTTCTTGATTGAGCTTTGCATACATATTTAGATCTTGGTGTGGCTTACCTTTTAATAAATGAAGCCTACAGAAAGTTTTCGTCTCAGAAGATGGTGGTGATTACTCAACAAAAAGGTTGAAGATTCAAGATTGTTCACCCATGTTAACCAACGTGCAATTAGAGTTAGTAGGCCAATATTTTTTAATTACTACTTTTAATGATGCTTACCAAAACAAGTTCACTGTCCTCCCAAAATAAAAACGGTTCCCCCTCATCACAGAAAGAGTTACCTGCCCTCCATAAATACTAATGCTTTCCACTTATCATAGACCACATTGAGGATGGCCTTTTTCTTACCGGAAAAAGGAAAAACGTCTTTGCTTTTTGTATGGACAAGAAAGGACCATAAGAAAATAGAAACACGAAAGATGTCTCATTTATTGGGTATAGATTTTCCAACAAGAAACTCATAAAGTCACCTAAATTTTATATTAGGTTGTTATGTAAGGGTTGCATTTGAGCGGTGCTTGTCCACACCAGATTCTGTGACGTGAAGTATTTGGCCAAAGGCAATACTACAGATATTGAAAGGAGTCATACTTACTCTTTTAGGCTATTTAATGGTGTAGTATGAAAAATAGTTGGCAGCTGGTACCATGGGTTTTGTTGTGTATATCAAGTGCTTAGTTGCCCCTTTCATTTGTTTTTGGTTGAAATATAATTCTTGAAGGTGTGGATATAATCCTTGGAAAATGAAAGGTCTGTCTCCTTTTAAATCTTTTTCCTCTAAAAGGATTGTCTGGTTTCTCTGTCTGGAGTATTATTTGGTTGAGGTTTTCTTAACATACATGCTTTTGAATTGTGAAAATTTTGCATGACATGGTCATTGCATGTGTTCTTATGTGTGTCAGATCCTCAGAAAGGT